GAACCTAAGCAAAGCAAGAGAACAGCAAAAAATTCCTATGGTCAGAAGTTTCATTATCTCTTACTTGAGAACAAAGAAATAGATCTGTATTTGATTTATGGAACACCCGACACTCTATTCCTTTTCAAGTGAAAGTTGAAAAACAGGGAAGAAGGGCAAAAATTAAGACTATGATCAGGAAGAGGAAGATGAAAAAGGAAGGATGTGTGGGATGAACCCAAGTCTGCTGCCCTGGTATTCGCATGAACCCTGAATGAAAAGAAGTGTTGCCGCCAGTGTGAAAATTGCTGGAATTCCAAACCGAAGTTTCCATGGCTGTATGTATGGGAGTGCAATTAGTGCAATAACTGCGACAATGTGCACAAAGATAACGCCTAATGATCTTAGGCCAGATATGCCGCTTCCGTTTCTTTGGTTCTGTCTCTTAACAAGCTCCATCATTGCTTCTACTGGTTTAAACTGAAGTTTTGATATATCCTCTTCAGGTTGAGGGCTTTGTTGCCTGTTGCTTGTTTTATCAACAACTTGACTCCCTTCAAGCTGATCCAATGCAAATGCAGCTAATGAGACAATGTGCCCACCCACTCCAACAGCTGTCAACGCCAGACCTGTGTAAAAGATAGCCTTCTGTGTGTGACCAATGCAATTAGGCTGGTAATTAGCACAGGTGTGCGTTAACTTGTGCAGTGCTGGTGGCGTAGACATTGATAGAAAACCCAAGCCCTGCTCATAATTTTGGATAATCAGTTCAAGAAAGTCCGGTAAAACTGGAAGCTATACTTCTATCAAGTTAGGCCGTGAAATTGATGACTAAATGGAAGGAGGGGAGGAAGAACTGTGAATGAATTTGCCGACAGGAGAACTTACAGAGGAAAAGGCTATACTCGAGAGAAGCAGTATCCAGTAGTTATCCACTCCAAAGTCCCCAAATAAGAAAAGAATAAAAGGGACCAATTTAGTTAGGCCAGTATATACATTCATTATTCCTGCAGCATGAGTAAACCCAACTTTCCAAACATCTGTTAAGTACTTCTGCATTATCCACGTCACGTAAGTCTCCAACAAATCAGCCCATATTAGAACTGTTAAGACAACAAAAAAAGGAGTTAGCATTAAGTAGACAAGAATGATTGTTCAAGCAGAGGAAGTTAAAGAATGACAAGGCCTTTGATGACTCTGAGATGAATTAAAAGTACCCATTATTCTGACGAATGCCATTGATTTTTCGAACTTCTCGTTGAAATCCTGAGTGTGAGAAAAATACTATCAGAACAAGGGAAGCTGACGATTAGAGCAGTTTCAGAACCATATGGTGGCCATAGCAAGCTGAAAGAAACCAGAGTTAATAGTTTGGATTGAGGTTTTCTTTAATTACCTCCAACTGCTATGTGTGCTGCTGGTCTGCGAGGGAAAAAGAGAGACGGAGAAACTTCTCTGCAATAAGTCGTTGTTAGAAAATTGGTTTAATTTCTTTTAAACAGATTCCTAATTCCTTGTTTTGTGTGAAAGTAACTAGATTCCTAATTGATTTTAGTTACTTAAAGTAGTAGTTAAGGAATTTCCTATGTGTATGAGTTTAGGAAAAGAAGTTATTTCCTATTCTAAATCAGTGTAGGAATTAGCATTGATTTCCTATTGTTATTTGGATTTTGTCCAAATAATGTTCCTTATAAATAGGTGAGTTAGCATACTACATACAAGGGCACACAAGGGGCGACATGTAGCCTTATACATGGGTGGTGAAAGAGGGTTCTTGGGAGATGAGAGATGATATGCAAGAATTGGCAATTTGTGTTCAAGTTGTATTATTGATAGAGTTTTTCTCTCATAATAAAGAACGAATTTCTCTTCGTAGATGTAAGTTTAATGGTGGAGTCAAATTATGTTAAATATTATGTGTCGTTTATCTTTCATACTTATGGCATTTTATCATTAAATTGTTGTATACTTGATATTCCAATGGTTGTTTATTCCGCACTTGAATCCTAACAAGTGGTATCAGAGCTTGATTGTGAGACTGGGTTGCTCACAAGCACTTGAATCCCAACCAACTAAATGGTTGGATCAAGAGTTTGGTTGTTCAAGGTTGGATCCTGGTTAACTATTGAGATCAAGTAGATTGGTGGTTGTTACCAATTGAACAATTTAATGGGTGGTATTCTTATTTCAAGAGTTTGGTAAGAAACATTGAAAGTGAAGAATAGAAAGTCGAAAAGCATGGAGATACTTGATAGTGAATCTATGCAGGTGATTTAAGAGTCAAGAAAAAGATGGAATCCAATGTCGATTTTTAACATAAATCGTTGGGTTGATATCTGCTTCGTATGCTGTCTGTCCTTCAACTGTATATCTATTAGTCTCCACTAGGGGTGAGCAAACGGTACAAATTCGGTAATTCGCGTTAGCTGAATTCGGTGAATTCGGTTATTTGACTTATAGAAATCAAAAATACTTTCAATTTTGAATTGGTTATAACCAAATTCATTTCGCAACGATTTCGAATTCGGAAATGGTAATGAATTCGATCTAACCGAATTCATTTATAAAAAAAAAAAACTGATGAGATAACTCTGTTATGGTCCTGAAGGAAGTGATTGTGTAATTTTTAATTTACAAATTGGGGCTTCCTAAATTATAATACATTCATTATGCTCCTCAATGATTTAAAACTTATTACTGATTTGATCCTCGAATTTATTCATAATTTAACACATTACTTATGTTCTAATCATTTTGTGGTTTAATTGGCATTTATTTGATCACTTATACTAGAATCCTTAGTCTATGATTTGAGGAACACATAAAAAGTGATTAATTTAAACTAGATTAAACCTTAGACTGTACAATGATTAATGATAATTTATGAATTTATAATTTGCAATGATTAATAATAAGTAATATTAGTTACAAACTTACAAATTACAATGATTAGTGATAAGTTATATTAGTTACAAACTTATAATTTATTTTAAATCAAAATAAAACTTATTTACTTACATATGTTATTGTGAAAGTCAATACACTAATACATTGATTTACAATTCATATGCATTCACTTACATTACTTAGTTGTCTTGTCTATACTTAAAACCTTAAGATTAGTGAGTAGAGAATATGAATTTTTATGTTAAATATGTAATGTAAATTTAGAGCATACTAATACTTGCAAGTTACAGGTTACGCATTCAAATATTCAATAATTCAAACATGAATGATGTATCAAATTACCAATATCTAAATTTCCAATTACTAATTATGTTTATTGTTTAATATTTAGTATTATACATATATGTATTAATTATTATCTAATTCTAGTCATGTTACTCATGTATAAAATAATAAGTATTATAGTTATGGTATATTGTTATGTATTACTATATATTTGTATTATTATAGTCATATAACAATTAACAAATACTAAAATATATTGTACATTATTATAAGTACATGATAATACCATGTACTAACTATTATTAATAGCATTTACCTATATAATATAATATTTTTTTTAGGGGTGTCCCGCAGGGAGTGGACCCGCAAGACTATTCCCCACCCTCAACAACTTGCTGGCAGTAAGGTTCGAACCAGGGACCTAAGTCTCCATCTTCAGCAACCTCAACCACCAGACCAAGCCCCTGAGGGCGCACCTATAATATACTAAATAATATAATTAATATAATTCTAATACTAAATAGCATTTATCTATATATTATATAATTTTATAAATTAATTTGGTATTCGAATGTGGTAATGCATTTTTTTACCGAATTTGAATGCGAAATCGGTTATTACCAAATTCATAATCTCATTACCTATTTCATATCATATTAGAATTCGGTGAATTTCGGTACCGAATTTGTATCAAATTACCTAATACCCGATTTCAAATTACCAAATTGCATTTGAATTCGGTATGTACCGAATTTGCTCACCCCACTCTCCACTGTCTTATTGCAGCTTTGCTCATGACTATCTTGACTCTGTGGCCTCATCTACAGCTGCACTTCCTTTCCTTCAAAGCCCATCCTTCTATTGTTTCAAATGACACAACATCGTAGCGTTGGATAATTTTATATGCGCTCATAGTTCACAAATTTGATACATTGAAATTTGAGACCACCAACTGTGTGGCTCCAAATTTGAACTTTTATTGGGCTGGTCAGTTTGCTTAGTAAACAGAAAGTTCGCCTCTCGCGATTTACAATCCATCTATTTGTCTATTATCAGCTAGGAAAAATGACTTGTCTCGTCCTTTATATTTTGGTGAAAAATTAATTTTATTGTTTACTTTTAATATAAAGCTAAATTAGTCCCTCATATTTTAAAGTGAACCAAGTTAGTCTCAAAATATTAGAATCACAATTTTAAAAAGATGACTTTAGCAATAATAACTTGAAATTCGCAGAAGAAGACATGTAAAATAAACAAAAGTAGACTACTAGTTGTTCTAAACGTTGATAGGCTATTTGTAGGAAAATGCAGGCCAATAGTTATTGAGTTTCCAGTCATATAGATGGTGTTGAAGAAGCTTCAAAATTCTGACCTCTGTTTGTCTAAGCAAGAGACCACAAAAATCAGCTTGGAAAGTTCTGAAGAGAGGAGTGTCATCAGAATTGCTGATCTAAAAACATATAGAAAAAGTTTCACAAATTTTCTGCATATGCTATGGAATATAGAATGCAAATACATTTTCCACAGGCAAAGGTGCAGAGAACTCATTTCATCCTAATGCAAATTGTGAGTTTAAAGCTAGGGCTAATCTTAGAAATAATCTTTCACACTGTTACTTGATTAGTTGATTTGTTTCACTTCTCTTTTATGCAGAACTTGCTTTGGTAACCCAAGAAAATCTTTTGCCTTTGGTTATTCACTACAGAAACAAGATATTAAGTCAAGCTTCCATTGAAGACATGTAACCAACGCCTATTTATGGTAATGTTTATGGACTACCAATAACTTTCAATCATGATACAGAAACCTAAAAAAGACGCCAGACAAAATTGAAAAGGACAACATCATGCTATTCTTCATTTTTGGTCAAGTGACTACCAACATAAGATTTACTCAACATCATATAGACCCAATAATTTTGGAATAACTATGAATCTTGAAGTAAGAGCATCATTCTAGACATACGATTTTTAACTGCAAATGGAGAACAGGCACTCTCATAAAATCATGTTCTATGTAATGGAGCTAAGATACAACTTCAAGAAGGGTGGGAAGTAGCTTGCAGAGGCCAACTAACAGACAATAAGCAGTCATAAGACAGACTGACAATTTTCTGCAACTAAATTGCAGCTAATTTGAGAGGCAAGCAGTATGAGACAGAATAGCAAATGAGGTCCATAATTGATGAATTACTACCTCATGTCATGACCAACAGGTTGAAGGCATCGCATTCACAATGTAGATCTCCAGCTTTGGCCATCTCAGTCACTTAGAAGCGAAAGAGAGTGCCATTCTATATGTTTGTCATCAGTTTGAAAATGATGTGCTTGAAGAAGGAATAATGGGATATTGATAGGCACGACAGTAATTGAGCCATTAAGGTCTCCCATGAGCTCTGAGCATAGCACCACTGCAAAACAGAATACTCAAAACTCAAGACAGTGTATAGAAAATGATAAAGCTAACTAGAAAATTCGGGTAATTGCAGGACATTTCTTTTCAACAAATCCTACAGAAAGTTAGAGAGAGAGAGAGAGATTTTGTCATTGATATCAAACCTAAATTAGTAAGCAGATACAAAATCTTTCTGGTCAGTCTACAAGAACCAAGTATTGTCATGAAAATTGTTCCAATTTGTGCCCAAAATTCCAAAAAAATGACCGGTTGAGTAATTTGAAAAAAAAATTGTTGCAACCAAAAAACATGACAAGCAGAGACAGCTGAAGAATCTTCATGAAGCGAATTCCTAGAGAGTAGCAACCAATTACTACCTCGAGAATCTTCATGAAGGCAAATCTTCATCAAAAAGTCCTGGTGATGATAGCTGTTCAAAAACATCCAATAAGCTGGGGCAAGGAATTTTTTCCGAGCAGCTCGTACTGGCCAGCTGACAGTCTTGAGCAATCAAAAACATAGACTGAAAACTTTCTGCAATTAGGTAACAACTAGTTTCAAGCACAAGAAGTCAGGAATTCTTATTGCTAGACCTCGTGACTGAAATGGCAGATTGACAGTGTGCAAGCTTCGACAATAAGGATATTTGGCTATTTGAGGCAGCAATATGAAAGAAAAGAGGGCCATCATAAACATTTCTGTCCAAGATACTGGGTTTGCAATTGAATGAGCAATTACTGCTAGTTGTTCTAAACGTTGATAGGTCATTTGTAGGAAATGCAGGCCAAAAGTTATGGTGTGAAGAAGCTTCAAAATTCTAACCTCTGTTCGTGAAGCTATTCTTCTATCAATCCTACAAAAACAAAGCATAGAACAGTAAAACATCAAAGCACGAAACAGAACAGGTGCTTGGGGTCATTCTAATTGATAGTTACAAGAGTATTACTATTATGTTGTAAGGAGTAAATGAAGAGCACCAATATTTTGGACCTAATAAGAAATGCTAATGCCGCAGCTTTGAAACATAATAAATAGGACGATAAAAAGGGAGAAGAGAAAATTGTGAAGAATAACCACGGAGACTTTTTAGTTTCTTTTTTTTCACGAGAAGGTTAATCAGAGGGTAAGGTGAAGAGAAGGCAAATCTCAAAACCACTGGGAGGCGAATTAGAAAAGTAGGTAAGAGGCAATCTTACATGATTGAATTTGATTTGAAGATGACGGTTAATCAAAATATGCCTAGGTATTGAATGTGAGAAACTTTGGACCACTGGGAGTCGGGGCCGCTGCTCTCAGGAGTGCATCTTTCTTTTAACAGAGGAGAACCTTCAACCTCCAGATGTTTTAGTTTGGTGAGACTTCTCATGGCATCCTCAGAGGGTAGATGTCGAAGCTCTTTGAAAAAGTATAAATATAGTTTTTCAAGAGCAGCGAAGTTTCCGAACCAATCTGGCAGAGCTTTTATACCTCCGAAGTTAAATAGCCATAGTGACGTCAGAGTGGTCAAGTATTGGATCTGATGTGGCAGGGACTCCATGTGTGGCAACCCACGTAAGCATAATACACGGAGTGCGCATGACGAAGAGGAGGAGGAGGATATCAATCTAGACCAATCAAACTCATTGTAAATTGAAGAATTTTCATGATCATCACCATCATCTGAGAAGGGACCAATTGCAAGCCTGTTTAAGCTGGTTAGAAAACCAAATCCTTTGGGCGTCATGCTTGTTTTCAGTTTGGGACACTCGTATAATTCCAGCTTCAAGAGAGAAGGTGTTTGTTGCAAATCAAGCGGAAAGGAGATAAGATTGTCGCACCAACGCACCCGAAGCTTCTGGAGGGAGGCACAAGAGTGTAGCATCTCACCGGGCAGATTCGTCAACCCATCGCAACCCCAAATCTGCAGCTTTTTAAGAGGCGTAAAGTTTTGCAGGGGAAGGAGTTCTCTGCATCTGTGGCAGTGATAAAACTCCAAACTCGCTAACTTGGGGAGTCTTGTTGTTGTTGGCAAATCCATTAACCATCGAGGAAATTGATCGCCCATAAAACCCCAAATTACCAACTCCTCCAAATTTGGGTGGGGTTGAAGGCCATCTAACACATCTTCATCATAGTTGTAGTTGTCGCATTCTCGATCACGGGCCCACTCAAGTCGCAGCCCAAATAGATTTGCCTTTTCAGATAGTTTTGCTTCCTCAGCTTCTTCCTTATCCTTTACTAGTTCCAGATTGCGTATCTCCAAATTGCCTTTGAGGTACTTCAAGCTTCCAAGCTCTCCAATTCGTCGACCCTTCTCTTGACCCATTTTAAAGAACTCTAGCGTCTGAAGGCAAGTCAGCCGTCCATATTCAGTGGCATTTGAAATTCTTTATTATTATTAGTGGTGTAAAAGTGGAGATGCCTCAAGCTAATCAAATCGCGCATCCCCTTCGGAAGATCTATAACTTCTGAGCGACTTAGCGTCAATGTCTGCAAATTATAAAGCTTGCAAAGGGAGTCCGGCAAAATACTGATTGAAGACCTCGAAAGGTTAACGTACCGCAAATGTATCAGTTTGCCAATTGAGATTGGCAAATTCTGATTTTTTGCACGAGACAAATTCAAAACGTGCAAATTCTTCAACTTCATTAACATATCGCCAGATAAGTCCCCCTTACTATGAACAATGTATGAAGTGAAGTTGATAGACTCTCCAAAAGTTTTTCTTTGTCTTCTCTGCCACCAGATGAGTCTATTGCAAGGTAACGAATCTGATCACCATTGTCTACTGTACATATATCCCGATCATTAATGACTTTGGAAGACTTTGACAATGACTCTGCAAGGTCGTGGACCAGATCATGCATCTTATAAGATGTTGATGTTTCTGACTCATCAATTATTTCTTCAAACAATGAACTCTGCAATAAAATTCTCAGATAATTAATTCCAATTTCCTCCATCATCATTTGGCTGTTGACGTCTGCTTGGAGGAAACCTTCTGCCATCCAAAGTTCGATTAGCATATCTCCTTTCATCTCAGTATCCTTAGGAAATATAGAACAATATGCAAAACATTTCTTAACGTATGGAGATGGCAAATTATCAAAACTCAACTTAAGTATTTGCATCACACGATCTTCATCTCCACTCAAACTCGAAAGCCTATTCTCCAAAATTGATCGCCACTCCTCTTTTATATGTAAAGATGATAGACCTCCGATTGCACTTGCAGCCAATGGTAGACCATCACATCTTTCGATTACTCTCTCTCTAATTGCTTGTAGTTCATCAGGTACTTCTCCCTCTCGAACTGCTTTTTCTTTTACGATAGACCAACAATGATCAACAGGTAGTGTAGTGGGGCCCACGTGCACGTCGGCCTGGCCCGCAAGCTCGGCTAGAAGGAGGTTCTCGGCCCATCAGGTCGGCTTGGGGGCCCAGAGGGCGCGGTCTCCCCAAGCGGATGGGCCGCGCGGGCTGCCGAGCCCAAGCACGCCTTAACTGAGTTATGGAGCCCTAGGGAGAGTTCTGCTCCCATAAGGACTCCCTGTTCTACTAGGAGACTACTACCTGTGACTCTATAAATACCACGCGTAGGAAAAACACAAGGTACGCTACTCATAGCATAAGCACTACTCTTTTATTTACAAGTCTGTTCTGACTTGACCGTCGGAGTTGCTTCAGGGGACTCAGCCCCGCAGCTCATTTCCGTGCAGGTCGAACGCTTGACCAGCTCGATCCCCGATCACGAGGCCAGTTCGGACCTTCACCTCGGCAGTCGCATCAATTGGCGCCGTCTGTGGGAACACGTTACTTTTCTTCATGAATCATGCCGAAAACTAGGTCGCAAAGAAACGCTGTTGGATCCAAGGGGATGGAGCGAGGCGGCCCCCAAAACTCTCATCGGGATCCGACACCTGAAGAAGGAGGGGCGGGGCCCTCACGAATTTCGCCCGAACAGCTGGTTCAAACGGTGGCAGCAAACCTGCCCACCTTCGAGGCGATCATGAACTACCTCAAAGAGCAGTCGGGAGGTCAGTCCGACAAGGAGCCTAAGGTCCAAGGAGCCGACCTGTCAGGGTCCCGAACTGGTAGTCCCAATCACGGGGCCAAGCGGGCGCATCGGGAACTCACGCGTGAGCAGGTCGAGGTCGTAGAGCCATCTCACAAGAACTCCCGAACTGAACATCCGGAGCCCGTCCGGAGGCTCTCCCCCCGGAGGGAGCGACAACAGGTACGGGACGAGCTGGACCTAATGCTCGACCCGGAGGCGGACAGGTACATTGCTTCCCCCTTTGCGCTTGACATCGAGGAATACCAACTGCCCGCGAAGTTCAAAATTCCAACGATGAAATCTTACGACGCCACTATGGATCCGGAAGACCACCTGTTCGTGTTCATGACGTAGATGCGCTTACAAACGGCCGCGGATGCGGTCAGGTGCAAGACCTTCCCGATGTTCCTAGAAGGAAGGGCTCGGCAGTGGTTCCAGGGACTTCCCCCCAGATCGATCAGTTCTTTCACCCAGCTCGCGCGACTGTTCTCAGCACAGTTCGTTTCCTCACGAGCCTTCTCTAAAAGCACCGCTCACCTTCTGACCATCCAACAAAGGGTCGAGGAATCACTGCGTGAGTACATGGTGCGGTTCAATAACGAATCCCTCCAGGTCCGCGACCGAGACGACAAGGTGGTCATGGCTGCCTTCATTAACGGGCTACGGAAGCAGAAGTTATACACCGAGCTCGTGGAGAGACCGCCCAAGTCAGTTCGGGAGATGCTGGATCGAGCTCATGAGAAGGCCAATGCTGAGGAGGCCAATCGCTTGAAGAGCGCTCAGGAGAGGCAGAGGGATGACAAGCGCCGAAGGATAACCGACCAAGGGGACGTGCGACGTGACCAAGGGCGGAAGAATACCTATGACCACCCGCCTAGAAGCCGGCCCTTAGGGGGGGACAAGCCTTGGACTTCCCTCACGGCCCCCCGAGCTCGGGTCCTTGCGGTGATGGAGCAGGAAGGGCTTTCCCGACCTCCCCGACCCTTGGCCGGGGATAGAGGCAGACGAGATCAGGACCTGTACTGTGCATATCACAGGGATGTGGGGCACGACACTGAGGACTGTCGTCACCTAAAGAAGGAGATCGAAAAGCTGATACGAAGAGGTCATCTCGGGCAGTTCGTCCGTGACGGGCGAGCAGATCAGAAGCCAGGGGGATTCAAGCGAGATCGGACGACCAGCTCGCACGACCGACCTCGAGGTCCCCGTGATCGGACTCCGGAGCAGGGGGTTCAGAACCTAGCCGGGGTAATCAACACCATTGCAGGGGGACCTGCGGGGGGAGATAGCCATACGGCTCGGCGGAACAACCGGCCTCCCCCCAGCGGGGAGAGCTCGAACAAACGTTTAAAGATGTACGAGGAGATCATCTATGGGCCAGAGGACGCGGTACCTTTAGCCTCCAACAACCATGAGGCGATTGTGATAGAAGTCATCACGTGCAACTACAAAGTAAAGAAGGTATACATCGACAATGGGAGCGCCATCGATGTGTTGTATTACAAAACTTTCAAAGAGCTGCAGTTGGAGGATAAACAGCTCATTCCAGTTCGTACTCCTCTGATAGGATTTGCAGGTCCGCCCGTAAGACCAGAGGGAATGATAACTCTCAGGGTCACTGTGGGGGAATCGCCGAAGTGCCGAACTATTCCGGTGAATTTTGCAGTGGTAAAGGAGCCGTCCTCCTACAACATGATACTAGGGCGTCCAACATTAAACGCACTCTGAGCTGTCTGCTCGACCTTGCACCTCAGCATGAAGTTTCCAACGCCTGAGGGGGTGGCCGAGGTGCTAGGAGACCCGGAGGTAGCACGAGCCTGCTATATCGCAACCCTCAAGGGTAAGGAGAAGCTGGTGGCGCAGACAGTCCTTCTGGAGCCCTGGGAGCCTACTGAGAAGGAGGAGAGGTTGGAGACGGACGAGAATCTGGTTGAATTGCCTATCTGCACCGAGCGACCCGATCGTGTGGTTAGGGCGGGATCTGGACTAAACGAACTGACGCGGAGAGCCCTGGAGTCTCTCCTGGAGGAGTATGCCGAGATCTTTGCTTGGAGTGCTGATGACATGCCGGGAGTTCCTCCTGAACTGGCAGTTCACAAGTTGCATGTGGATCCAAGCATCCGGCCAGTGAAGCAGAAGAAGAGAAACTTTGCACCTGAACGCAACGAGGTTGTCAAAGAAGAGGTAGGCAAGCTGTTGGAGGCCAGAATGTGAAAGAGATCTACTATCCGACCTGGCTGGCCAACCCGGTGCTGGTCAAAAAGGAGGACAAGGCTTGGCGAATGTACGTGGACTTCACCGACCTGAATAAAGCTTGTCCGAAGGATTGTTATCCCCTCCCTCGCATCGACCAGCTGGTAGACTCGACTGCTGGATGCGAGATCTTCTGTTTTCTGGATGCCTTCAAAGGGTATCATCAGATAGCCCTGGATGAGAAGGATCAGGAGAAGACTGCCTTCATCACCGAGTACGGCACGTACTGTTATACTACCATGCCCTTTGGGTTAAAGAATGCTGGCGCGACCTATCAGCGGCTGGTCAACAAGATGTTCAGAGGCCAGATCGGCCGAAACATGGAGGTATATGTGGATGACATGCTGGTGAAGAGCCGGACTCAGGAGCAGTTGATCAGCGACCTCCGGGAGATCTTTGGCGTCCTAAGGAGCTCGCGGATGCGGCTAAACCCCAAGAAGTGCACTTTCGGGGTCAGGTCGGGCAAGTTCCTTGGGTATATGATATCTAAGGGCGGAGTAAGAGCTAATCCCGACAAGGTAAAGGCTATCATGGATATGGCTCCTCCCCGAAGCATAAAAGAGGTCCAACGGCTGGCGGGCAGGATGGCGGCCCTAAACAGGTTTTTGTCCAAATCTGCAGTTCGGGGTTCCCCTTTCTTCAAAGCTTTGCGAAGAGGGCCTCAGTTTGAATGGACCCCCGAGTGTCAGCAAGCGTTTGACGAACTAAAAGCCCACATCGCTCAGTTGCCATCCTTGACCTCTCCCGCGCAAGGAGAAACCTTATTCATCTATCTGGCAGTAGAGGAGGAGGCAATCAGTGCGGTTCTAGTTCGGGAAGAGGGCAAAATCCAGAAGCCCGTATACTATGTCAGCCGGGCTCTGCAGGGCGCGGAGCCAAGGTACACCTCGATTGAGCGGTATGTTTTGGCATTAGTTCACGCGGCCCGGAAGCTCAGGTCGTATTTCCAAACTCATCCCGTGATAGTAATGACCGACCAGCCTCTCAAGCAAATTCTTTCGAAACCCGATGCCTCGGGAAGAATGGTGAGGTGGGCTGTGGAGCTGTCCGAGTACGATCTCAGCTACCAACCCCGCACGGCCATTAAAGCCCAAGCATTAGCAGATTTCATAGCCGAAGGAATTTCCTTTGGGCAACAGGAATCGCATGCCGAGCAGTCCAGAGACGCAGCTAAGGCCGAGCAGGCCGGAGAGGCTGCCGAGGTCGCGCAGGCCACCAAGTTCGAGCTGACCCAAGACGCAGCTGAGGCCAGGCAGGCCGGAGAAGCTGCCGAGGTCACCAAGTTCGCTAAGACTTCCAAGGCCGAACATACCATAGACGCAGCTAAGGCCGAGCAGGCTAGTGAACCTGCCGAGGTCATACAGGCCACAATGGAAGCCACGGACGATCTAAACGGAAACGCAGTGGAGGCCGAGCAGGTCAGAAAAGCTGTGAAATACGAACAGGCCACCGGAAAGGTGGGTCAGTCCATTCCAACCTGGACTCTGTTCGTGGACGGCTCGTCAAGCCAGGAAGGATGCGGAGCAGGACTTCTCTTGACCAGCCCCATGGGGGATGAATTAGCCTACGCCCTAAGGTTTGATTTCAGGGCCTCCAACAACGAGTCCGAATACGAGGCCCTGGTCGCGGGGATGGTGATAGCTCGAAAGTTGGGGGCCGAATCAATAGAAGTCTACAGCGATTCGCAGCTGATAGTAAACCAGGTAGGGGGAAGTTTTGAAGTCAAAGAGGAGCCACTAAAAAGGTACGTCGCAAAAGTGCATGAGCTGAGAGCTCAGTTCAAACTGTTCACGCTCAAGCAGGTCCCGCGAAGCCAGAATAAAAGGGCAGACGCACTGTCCAAGCTCGCCTCCACCTCAGTCGGCACATTGAACAAAAAGGTCTTGGTGGAGGTCGTCAGGAGCCGGGCATATGATCAGGTAGATGCGGCCGTTATTCAAGTAGTGAGCTCCTGGATGGATCCCCTCGTGCGATACCTGGCCAATGGAGAGCTCCCCTCAAGTCGGGTGGAAGCACGACGAATCCTTCTCAAGTCGCGGGGGTACGAGCTCTCGAATGGGGTACTCTACAAAAAATCATACCTGCGTCCATGGTTGAGGTGCGTAACTCCGGAGGAGGGAGACTATATCCTGCGTGAGCTGCATGAGGGTATCTGCGGGAACCATGTCGGACCAAGAGTTTTGGCCAAAAAAGGAATGTTGTCTGGATATTACTGGCCCACTATCTTCTTGGACTCAGCCGAACTGGTGGCTCGGTGCAAACCCTGCCAGCTGCACGCTCCGATCCACCACGCCCCAACTCAGGAGATGGTGCCTCTTCAGAGCCCTTGGCCTTTCTTCCAATGGGGGATAGACTTGCTGGGTCCGTTCCCTCGAGCTCCTGGGGGCTATGAGCACGTGGTGGTGGCTGTGGACTACTTCACCAAGTGGGTGGAGGTCGAGCCCCTTACCACCATTAGCAGCAGGTCGGTCCAAAAATTTCTCTGGAGAAATATCGTTTGTCGATTTGGTATACCTCGGGTCCTGGTCTCAGACAATGGGCGACAGTTCGCGGACAGTTCTCTCCAAGGCTGGTGCACGGAGCTCGGGATCCGACAGCACTTCACCTCGGTAGGTCATCCCCAAGCCAACGGGCAGGTCGAAAACGTTAACAGGACTGTCCTGCACGGTTTGAAGACGCGGATGGAGTCCGCTCGAGCGGGGTGGCTGGACGAGCTGCCCACCATCCTATGGGCCTACCGAACCACTCCCCGAACTGCCACTCAGGAGACTCCTTTCGTTCTGACCTATGGAACGGAGGCTGTGATTCCTGCGGAGATAGGTGTTCCTTCGAACAAGGTTCAGAACTTCATAGCTCAGGACAATGAAGATGAGCTGCGTCTTAACCTGGATTTGCTGGAAGGAAGGAGAGAAGAAGCGGCTATACGCATGGCTAAGTATAAAGGACAGGTTGCGCGACATTACAATGCTAGGGTGAGGCCTCTATCCTTCAAACCAGGGGACCTGGTCCTAAGGAAGAACAGCGTAAGTCGGTTTCGGGGCACGGGCAAGCTGAATCCAAATTGGGAAGGACCCTATGTGGTGAAAGAAGCGGACCGAGCTGGATACTGCAAGTTAACTCACCTAAGCGGAGAAGAGGTCCCGCGTACTTGGCACAATTCCAACTTAAGGATTTTCCGTTAAGCTCGCGCATGACAGTTCGTTTCAAGGTCAAGACTTTGATTAATGTTAATGTATTTGGCTAGTAAGTTATTTCAGCTTATAGAATAGCTCGTTTAGGTTGGCATAGGGCCGAACTGGTATGTCTTATTATGAGAAACCTTGCGAATGCGATTAAGTATAAAGCAAGAGGAAGGCTTTTCATTTCATTCAATAAAAACTGTACAAGGAAGAACAGAGCTCATACAAAACGAATTGCCTACTGACAGTTCGGGTCCTATCCTAAGTCTTACTCTAGTTCTCCCCCTCCTCCTCCTCCTGCTCGGATTCGGGGGTGGTCACTGGCAGCAGGGGGTCAGCGACCAGGTCGGTCAATTTCCGTCCATGAGTGTAACCCTCTACCAAGCGGTCGATCTGCTCCACGGCCCGGGGATTGTAGCTGGGAAAGTTTCCCAGGTCGAACCCGGGCAGACCTAGCCCTTGCACTTCCTTCAGGGCTTGGGAATACCCATGTTGCAGAACGGGGGTGTTTAAGATAGCCAGATCGCCCCTGAAGTCATCCGACCTGAGGAAGGCCCGCACGCCCTCCTGGCCTCCCTCAGCCCTGGCCGCTTCCGCCTGAGCCGCCAGCTCGGCTGCCTTCTGCTGCTCCTCTTTCAGCTGGGAGGTCAGCTCGGAATTTTTCTTCAGCTCTAGCTCGAAGTTTGTATGGACCTGCGCGAGTTGCTTCTTCAGGCCTTCAGCTTCGGCCACAGCTGCTTCGTTCTGGCTGAGCAGTTTCTCGTTGGCCGCCTTTGTTTCATTCAACAGGGGGAGCAGGCTTTCGTAGCGCTTGGCCAGTTCGGACCCAACCAGGTTCACCTGAGCCGTTCCCGTGTAGAAGTAGTTGAGGAGGTCGGATGACTCCATGGCCTTGGTCAAATTGTAGTCCCGTGGGAGGATGGCCCCGTGAGCGAGCTCCCGCGCCACCTCGGGGAACTGAGCCCGGTCATTTATGGATAGCTTCCACTGGGGGCAGAAGTGCATGGGGTGCTGGTGCGTCGTCAACCGAGTCTGGGGGTCGAAGAGCAGGGAGCTCTGGCGTTGCCACAGGTTAGGGGGAGCTTCAGCTCTGGCTTGCTCTTCGGCGGTGGTCACGCCGTAGTGGCCGCCTTGGGCAGGCTCAGGTGTTGACCTCTCCTCCCTAGCTGGGGACGAGGGCGTCTCCACCCTGGCTCTCTTAGCAGTTGTCTTCTTTTTCTTTTTCTTTCCAGCCTCAACCGCCTTGGAGGATTGGGCGGGAGCTGGCTGAGGTATGGGAGCTGGCACCGAGCTGGCTGGAATGGCCGAGGGACTCTGAGTGGTAGCGCCTGGGTTGGTAGTACCACCGATGGACAGAAGTGAGGAAAACCGCTTCACTGCACAAACAGAAGTCCAGGAGGTCAGCAGATGCCCATATATACAAAAAAAAAAAAAAAGAGGAAAAGACGGAAGGGCAGGATAGTTACAGGTGTCCAGCTCGCCCGGGGTGAGTGGCCTGTCCTCTGGCGAGGGATCCGAGGAGCTAGCTCGGATCAACCCCGCCGCCCAAAGCTGGTCATTGCTGAACTCTTTCACGTCCAGCTTCACGTCCGAGCTGAGTAGGCGGCTAAGCTCGGACACGGGGAGCAGGGATGGAAGGGGATCTGAGACTTGAGTCTCTGCTCTCCAAGTAAGGGGAGGAAAACCTAGGTTCTTCACGAAAAAGAACTGAGGCTTCCAGTCCTTGATAGAGGAAGGTGCCCCCGTGAACAGCTCGCGGGTGGGGGTTTTTGCTCCACTTCGGCGGGCAAAGTAGAACCACCCAGGCACCTTCCCGCTGACCTTCATCTGGAAGAAGGCACGGAACAGGTCGAGAGAAAAGGAAATTTCGAGTGTTCGGCAAAGGATGAAGAAGCCTATGATAGAGCGAACAGCGTTGGGGATGACCTGGGTTATGCGAATACCCCAGAAGGTAAGAATGAAGAAGAGGAAGTTGGGGATGGGCAGACGGAGGCCAGCCATTAGCTGGTCCCTGTAGATCGCCACGAAACCAGTGGGAGGTCGGCTGGCAACCTCCCCTGGATGCGCGGCCCTGGGCTCGAATTGGGCTGGGATTTCATATTTTTCCGCCAGCTCGTCAACATCTTTTTGCTCCAAGGCTGGGGGAATAGTGTCGACCTCTCCGAAGTCGCCACTTGGCCCCCTCGAGGTCCCCGCTGCCATCTGACCCGGAGCTGCCTGATCAGCTGCTCCGACTAGAGGCTGGGCAGGTCGCTCGGCTGGGCTCATTACTCTAACAGGGGACAGGTTAGGAGAGGCTACTGGTCTCGGTCCAAAGGAAATAGAAGGAGAAGAGCTAAAGGAATCTAAAGAGCTGCTATCTAAGAGTATGGGGCTAGCTGCTCTATGCCTATGGGTTGAACTGGTGACGTCAGAACTATCAGAACTGTAAGAAGACATAAAAAGGAAAGGGGGACTTACTGGTGAAAGGATGACCTAAGGAATGCGCGGGCTGATTCTGGGCTCCTAGGGCGGGGCGACCCGACGTGTTCTCGAAGAGAAAAGGATGAAGCAGCGAGCTAGGGATTGAAGGAGCGAACTGAGGAAATGAGAGAAGGAGAGTGAAAATGACGCTTGGAGGATCCTATTTATAGGCAACGACAGCGCGGGAAAGCGAAGAGGCGCGCATTTATTCGAACAGTTTATGGGGAACCGTTCCTAACCGCCCTAATTAGCCGAGGCGACGGTTGAGGTGACAGGCGCGAACTGACGCGACGGTTGCTTGCGCCACTCTCTGACGGGGGGTCCCACAATGAGCTGACACGACCTCCTGGAATCCGGCCTAGATTCACGCGCACGATCGATGACTCTAGACCTGAGGGGGGGCTAGTGTAGTGGGGCCCACGTGCACGTCGGCCTGGCCCGCAAGCTCGGCTAGAAGGAGGTTCTCGGCCCATCAGGTCGGCTTGGGGGCCCAGAGGGCGCGGTCTCCCCAAGCGGATGGGCCGCGCGGGCTGCCGAGCCCAAGCACGCATTAACTGAGTTATGGAGCCCTAGGGAGAGTTCTGCTCCCATAAGGACTCCCTGTTCTACTAGGAGACTACTACCTGTGACTCTATAAATACCACGCGTAGGAAAAACACAAGGTACGCTACTCATAGCATAAGCACTACTCTTTTATTTACAAGTCTGTTCTTCAGGGGACTCAGCCCCGCAGCTCATTTCCGTGCAGGTCGGACGCTTGACCAGCTCGATCCCCGATCACGAGGCCAGTTCGGACCTTCACCTCGGCAGTCGCATCAGGTAGTTTTCCTAATCGATAGGCTTCATTTTCCATCATGAAAACTCTAGACACACACTGCGCCACTGGACCTGGACGAGTAGTGACCAAACACCAGCTTCCATTGGTTGGATTGAGCCCCTTCAAGGTGTTGAAAAAGTCCTCCCACAATGCTTGATCATCATTCCACACATCATCAAGGACTAGGAGATATCTTTTTCCCCCTGGGTTGTTCCCAATTTTTTCAACGATGACGTCCCTAAGATCCACTTCAACCTTTTCTTTCGTCAAATGCACTAATATGAGTTTGAAAAGCTCCTCTATTGGAACTTTTTTCGATACACAAACCCAAATCTTTATGTCAAAGTGTTCATCAATTTGCTTGTTGTTGTATATGGATTTAGCCAAAGTTGTTTTGCCTAAACCTCCCATACCAACTTTGGGAAGAACAGAAACAACCTTCTCAGACAGGCTCAACAAAATCTTCACTATCTCTGATTCATCATCGGCTCTTCCAACCATTGGAGCAACAACAGAGTCGGTCTGCCGACCTCTCGTGCCTCCAACAGCAGGAGCAGCAGGGAGGGCAGCAGGCACGACTGACTTACTTCCAGTCCAAAATCACGGGCTTGTTGATTTATCTCCTTCAACTTCAGTTTGACGTCCCTGACCTTAGAAGCCATTCTCCAACGAAAAGCAATATTAATGTTAGAGAAGGAGAAGAAGCAGCATACCTTGAGCTTGTGTCGGTTTCGGGACTCCACCTGGTGACGAAGAGATTCATAGTGGAGCTCATCCAACACATTCTGAGCATCATAAGCCACCTCCTCGAGACACTTCAACCATTCATGCACTACCCGGTCCTGGTTTTGTTGCTTTTCCTCAGCATCAGACAAGCGAGCATTGATAAACCGAAGAGATCGAGTCATGCTGGCCAGATCCTTCTTGAACCCAACTAACATACCAATCCTATCAGAGGCAAGAGACAGTGCCGTTTCCAATGTGACCTGAATTGTGGCACCGATAACAGGGTCGGCCATTGGTGTTGCCTTGGATTCAGTGTTGAGAACAAGATGTTTTTTTTTTTTTATGGAAAGTTTTTTGCAGCGAGGAACTGGTAATCTTACCTAGGCTACTATAATTGGTTATAAAGAACGGAGCGTTAATAATTATTGCGCGTAGACCTGGAGTTCTTCTCTGGCAAATTTGTAAGCTTTTGCATGGGCGTGTTTACAGAGTAACTTTCTCAATTATTGTAGTTGTTGGGGCACATGTTTTCTGATTAAATGCCGGGGCCTTCAGAATTTTTGGTTGTGGACCATATTTGTTTTTGTCCACGATCAAATCGTAAAAAGGAGAGTGAGATTCTGCTTTGGTTACATGCATGTCATTGTTATTTGTTAATCCTTGGAAAATGAATTTATGACATAATTTGGTCTGAATGTTGTTCGGTTTTGGGAAGCAATAATAATAATGTTCTCTGTTTTCGCACTAGCTATGATGCATTTTGCTTCTTGGCTTAGCAATCAGGCTTGAGATTTTAAATTACCTTTTGTACTTCAGCGTTTCAAGTATATAACATGATCGGTATGAAACCCTAGCCTTCTACTCCTCTCTTTAAAATCTGATAGTCTTTAATTCAAATCGATATTAATCCTTTTTGTTATATTATTTCTTATTACTTTCCTTTTCTAGTTGATTTTGGATCCTTTTTTTTATTACTTTTCTAAATTTTTCTCCTCAAACTGGATGTCTCTCAATCTCTCTTGTGGGAATTCAACATACTTTAAGATGAATTTCATTTTGTCATTATCAAGTTTGCACTTGAAGAATTAAAGTTCATATGGGGCTAAGTCATACTAATTTCATATCTTTGACATTTATTTATCACAAACCTCAATTCTTCTTTCCTCTAGTGTTTCTTTTCTATATCAACTCTCCTTAATCCCATTATTGTCTCACAGCATAATCCAGAAAGTGTCAGTATATAAGAATTCTTTTGAAGTAATTATTACTAATATATAGTTTCCGTTTCTTGTGGAATGTTCTGAATCTTTCCTAAAGCACCATTTTCCAATTTGAGTTCCAGAATTGTTGCAAACTTTTTTGATTTGCGCATCACTTTGCATGTAAGAATTCAAAATTTCACCACCAATTAAATATATAGTTTTCCTCGCAACTTGTCCCGTTTGGATTGCTATTTTTAGGAATTTTTAGCTGTTGCTTGGCATTTTCAATTCACCTTTCTTTGTAGTGTAGTAGTTGCCGGGATTCTTCAGCTGCCGTTGATCCACATGCCACATGCTTGGGGGGCCATCGGATGTGGAAATTTCCACCCAAGAAGGAAAAGAAACCGTGTTGAATGATGAAGAAAAGAAAATGGCAATCATCATTGACACTCTAATAATTGCCATGGAGAAGTTTGCCTGGCAATTTCACTTGGCTTTATTGATCAATGCTTAGCTGGGTATTTCATCTTTTTCTGATTGAAAGCTGGCTGGGGCCTTTGGCTGTGGAAAATATCTCAATAGTTTGTCGGAGCTGTGGTTTGACCCAAGACTGACCCCCGCCACAAAAAAAAAAAAAAAAAAAAAAGCCTATGTTCAACGATCAAAATGTAAAGGAGAAAGAGGAAATGACAACCATAGCTGGTGACTTTGCAACATTAATTGCCTCAGTCATTAATCCTTGGGAAATAGACTAAAAACGTTATTTTGTGGGGGAAAAACTTAAAAAATAATCCGTGGTTCACTTGTCAAAAACATGAAGTGGAGTTAGCAATCAGGTTTGGCATGTAGCGACATAATTGGCCAATGGTTGGGTGCTTTCTTAGCTTTTTACACTTGTGAAATTGCCAAAACAGTCGCTCGTAATTCCACAAGCTTTCTAGCACTTTAAAAATTCAAACATTTTGTTTCAAAATGTCTTGTTTATGTACAGCATACAAAATTTAAGTGGTGAAAGTTTAAGGCGTTTCTTTATTACTATATTTTTTTGAAGTACAATATACAATCAACTGGAGTTAGAAGTAAAATAGACCTTTAGCTCACACTATGATTATAAACTTTGACTGAATTGGATGTTTTGGGAAGAGGGAAATGAGCGTGTTCTTGCAGATTTCAATTTTTACAATTGAATTATTTGCCTATGATATGATCACAAGTTTAACTTAAATGGAGTTGCGATAATAGAAGATTCTCGAAAGAAGACTTCAAAAGGTGGAAATTGAAAATGAGTGGAAATTAATGAGGAATTAACCAATTATTTGGATTCCCATTTTTGTATCCGACTCTTTTATAATTAGTTTTTCTTATAGTTTTTCTCGCTCCTAACAAATTTATCTAAAAAGATAAATTTGAATTATTTGTTCTTATGGTTCCTCTCTCTTCTAACAATATGATAAATTTGTATAAATTTGTTTATCCATATGGATTAACTTAGTGTTAAAAAATTTTTAACTGTTAGCTGATAGATTTATCAATATTGCTGGAAATTAAATATTTTTTGATGTAGAAAACAAATCGCAAAATCTTTTGTACTTAGTTAGGTAGGAAAATGTAACTAGGTTTATGGTTATTATAAAAATTGTAATTATCTAAAAAATATCCGTACACAAAAAGGTAGAATATCTATTGATTTTTTAATATGTGTTATCATATTTGATGAATATTATTATATTATAGTAAAACTATGTAAAGAAGTTTTTAAAAATTAGTATGATAGTTAAGTATAATTATTCCATTAATTTTCTAAAATTAATATGAATGAACTTGTAAGATCATCATTAATTTTTTATTTAAATTATTCATGCTTGCACGAATTCAGAAGAAAATAAAAAAATAAACCATGCCAAGGCAAATGCAAGATGCTCGTTCAAATTAATGTTGTACACGTATAGGAGTCACAAAACGGTTTGGTGCACTAGCAGACGAAAGGGGACATCTAAAGTATTAGGACAAGTTTTACATTAAAGTGGGAGATTTGTAACGCAATTGAGCGAAAACAAATGAGGTTGAGGAAAACTTTATATCAGTTGCAATACATTCATAAAAGCTATGGCACATTCGTTAAAATAAGAAATATTTATTAATTTGGTGCAGTGTAATAGCAAACCAAGGAAAAAAAATATGAATGATCCGTGAGAGGGAAAGATGTCATTTGACTTAAAATAAAAGTGTGATTGGATAGAGGTTTAGATGAACAAAAAAATTAGATTAATATTGTAACACTTTTTGTGGCTTGATATAATATATATGAGATAGAATGATGACTGGTAAAATAAAAAAAATGATTCAGGTAAATATAAATAATTTTTTTCATATATTTGCGTAATGATGATAATGACAGGGTGAAAACAATGCATGCAAAGACGAAGGTTGATAATAATAATGATAACTATGGTGAGATAGATAGCAATTGCAAGTTGCACACCATGCAATTAGTGTTTTAGATTAGGTAAATTTGCACACCACTATTGCAAATAATTCAGTCAATAAGAGATAGGAAAACATAATGCACGAAATCCAACTTTTAGAATTGTGTTATAGTTTAATGATGACTATGTGGTGTTTTTGTAGACAAATAAACAGAAAAACAAATAAATATACAAATTTGATAAAGAAAGGTGCACTTCTACAGGACCGAAACTAATTGCTCTTAGGTCCCATTTTGCTATTTTTTAAAGTTTTTATAGAGACTTTTTCGTTTGGATTGCTATTTTTTGAAATTTTTATAGAAAAATGTATTGTAGAAATTTAATATCTATGAGATAAAAAAGTAATTAAAATATGTGTTTATGAAAAACATTAAAAATATTCCGTAGTAGACTGCAATCCTAGCATGGCTTGCGATTTGATCAATATGAAATAAAAAAGTAATTAAGAAATGTGTTCACAAAAAATGTAAAAAATTTGCCTTAGAAAACTACAATCCAAACAAGTAGTCTTCTCCCCGTTCAAGAAACGCAATGAAAATATTTGTTGAATAATTAAACTTATCCTTTCATAAGCCACTTATACCGGGGGAGGTATGGAGGGAGGCAATGAATAAAAAGTCTTGGGTTCGATTCCTCCCACTTACACAAAGAAAAAAGTATAAAATAAAATAAAAAAAAAAACCACTTATACTAGCTAAGAGTATTTTCTGGTCACGTCTCGTGTTATATATTATTAATCCTATCATATTATCCAAAAGCATTTGTTGGAAATTGCATTCTTAATTTAGATTAAAAAAAACAATAATGAAATATTTGTTGGAAACGAAGGAAAAGTGACGCAACCTTTCCAATTTGTAAATTCAATTAGGCTTACATGTAAAACTATTAAAGTGTATCAGCATGAGAGAATTTAGTGCTTCATCTGACGCTTGTAAAATAGACAAATGAAGTTTTGAAATTCTAGCACTTTTGGACCAATACCTTTTTTTTAAGGCAAAACCAATACCTTAGGTAACCACAAGATCTCATCTTGATTTGCTGTTTTTCTTATTAAATGTTGAATCTAGAAAATCATGTCTCAGAAATAACTACATATACCTGGAAAAAAAATTTAGTGCTAGGATAAATATACTGCTAAGTTATGGAAATTCTCTTTTCCATTTTAGCAATTTGATTCTTTGGACGCATGATTCTATCTGTTATATTTGGCTTCAAAATATGTTACTTTAGAATGGTGTTTGGATGTGGATACATAATCTGTAATTATTCTCACCTATATTTATTTTCTAAAGGTCTGTCCACTTTATTCGGATTTCTTACCTATTTCACTCACAAATGCAGAGGTAGCCATTGGCGTTTTACGGTGAAGAGAAGCCAAAAAAACTACCAACCCCTTTATTGCTCTCTTTCATCTTATTTCTCCATCTTTCATCCTTCTTTTTCGTTGTGACCTACAATTAGGACTGCAAACCACTCAAGCGCTAGCGAGCCAACTCAGTCAAAAGTTAAATCGAGTTCAGGTAATACTGAATCCGAGTTGAGCTCAATCCAACCAAGTTGAGCTACCGAATTCAAGTCGAACATAAAGAAATTCAATTCATTAAT